AATGATAGAACTGGAAGGATTTATATGCTAGAGACAGAATCATGCATTTGGTAAAAATGAGCTTGTAAGCAGGATTTTTAAAACTACAGCAGTTGGAAAGTTGTCAAGATAGATTGGTATGGTTGATAATGTTTACAGAACAAGATATACATGCAAGGGTTTCTGTTGAAATTCATCTGCTACATTACAACACAAGAATAATACCATGCTTCTTAATCAATCACAGGGTGTGTTTTTCTTCTTCTTATAGTTAATTTCCTCATGTTATCAAGCAAGAATTGTCAATGAGTTGAGGAATCTGAAACTTTTGAAATTTGCCTCATAAATGCTTACTCAAGCATGTTTATTTAAGCACAAAATAGTTGACTTGAGTACTTGACATGTATATCCCATGGAGATTCATATATTCTCCAACGAGTGCATTGATGACATGGAAACAACATTTTGCAATAAGGCACAAGAATATTCCTATGTTGTTGTAGTGGGTTTGGATCCATCAGAGAAGGCTGCTGGTATTGTCGTCCATGGAGGCAGAGCGGCAGCGGCCCTTCTTTCTTTTTAGTCGCTGCCGACGTAGCATTCAACACTGCAGATCTTACTAAAGCATGAAAACAACCCACTCCCACTACGATCCGTACCCTTTACCCCGCCCCCACTCCTATAACCGTCGGTGTGCCTTTGAGAGTGGCGGCTCGTCTTTGTGCTCGACGTCGGGTGGCTAGAGAACCTGATCAATCACTGGTTGCAAGTCTGACCGCCACCTCTCCAATTTCGACTGTAACCCCTCCACGCTCCGGTCCAAGCTCCACCCTCCCGCCCTCTCGTGTTCCCCCTCGTCAATCACTGGCTTTCTCGCTATCGCCGTGGCCACTTCCGACGGAGATGGCCCCAGCTCCGACTCTGTCATCACCATCTGTCCCATGTTCCCCTAGTTTGACCTCCGCGCCGTCATGTACTCAATCCCACCGTTCACCTTTCCGAAAGAATGCATCGGCGCCCCCCTCTTCGGATAGAGATTTGATACCGTCAGCGACGCCCGGAACTGCGCGCCCCCACCGCCGGTGAGTTCTGAAACTGCGGCTTCGGAGACGCTAAATATTGCGGCTTCGAAGATGCCATATATTGCGGCTTCGGAGATGCTATATACTGCGGATTCTGCAAATTCTTAAACTGTGGCGCCGGAGAATTGATTGCGGTGCCAGAGAGTTCTTAAACTGTGGCACCCGAGAATTCATAAACTGCAGTTTCAGAGAATTCTTGAACTAGGGCGCCGGAGAATTCTTGAACTGCGGTGTCGGAGAGCTCATATAATGTGGTGCCGGAGAATTCTTAAACTGCGGCGCCGAAGAGCTCATATAATGTGGTTTAGGAGAATTCTTATACTGCCATGCCGGAGAGTTCATATACAGCGGTGCCGGCGAGCTAGTATGCTGCCTTGCCGGAGAATTCGTGAACTGTGGTGCGGGCGAATTTATATACTGTGGCACTGGAGAGTTTCGGAACTGGTGTTCTGGGGTGGCGCGAGTTTCGTACGTAACGTTGTTAACTAGAATATATTCTTCCTCTATGGCGTCGGTAACGAAGATGTTTTGGCCAATGCTAACGTCGGAATCGGAGTTAGCATCAGAATGCGCGTCGGTGGTCATGGTGCTGGGTTTGAAAATCTTCGTATATTGACATCGTTGTTGTAGTGCTGAAGTGGCGAAATCTCCTCCACGTGGCCATTCATTTCTTTTGAACCCTTCTTCTCATTCTCACTGCTGTTTTCGCTTTCTTTCTTAACCAACTAAAACCACTTAAATCCTATCCATTCCTTTTTTAGACTAAATGGGTAATTAACTATTTTTTTAACTACTCCTTCCTTCTCACATCGCCTAACTATCTATCAATAAATACTATTTTTAATACCCATTTACATGTAATATTATTTTTATTATTTCTCAGATCTAGTAAAATCCAAGCACGTGTCGTTAGTGGAATTTACGTATCAAGAGGGAGGCTCGACACTCAGATGAGGAACGCCAGGTGTCAAGTGAAGGGGATCCGGAAATCAGTTAGTGGAAAACAAGTGTGGACAGATGAGGGGACGTCCGTTTTGAAGTGTGAAGCAAAACTTGGATTTTCAGAAAAACCTACCCCACTCTCTGCATGCACCCTCTTTTCAAAATTTCTGAAGAATCTCATTCTCTCCTCCTTCTCTCTATATCCTCTTCATCTTTTCTCTGAGAAAACACTCATTTTCTCTTCTCCGATCACTGTTCCAGCACCATAGAAGCACTTCCGGCGTCAAGAGCTTCCAGATAAACCGTTCGGTTTGTGAAGCTGGGCTGGTAAGTCCTTCTCTTCGCTCTGTCATTCGTTTTCCTAAACATACAAACCCAGTTCTGGGTTTGTGTGTTGATCACCATTCTTAAAATGAGTGGTTCTGATAGTGTCGGGTCAAGCGTTGGCGGTAGAAGAATCCTGTAGTGGTGAAATTGTATTTCTGCGTCTGGAACGTACGTTCACGCTAGAGGTAAGGGAAGCTTATTTAATTTAATTTGTATGTTGTTGTATTGTATGAACGTTCGTCAGTGACTGAATGATTTTTATGCATGATGGTTGATATGATTGGATTGAATGAACGTTCGTTTATTTAATGAGTGTAACTGAAATATGGCTGAGTTATGTTATAATGTATGAAATATATGAAACTTATATGATATGGATTGTATGAAGTATGAAAGTCGATTATAATATGAATGTATAAAGTTATGAAACTATATGTTAAGAAATGAGACAGATATAAATTAATTCTGAATATGAAATTTCTCACATGAAAGTGTACGTTCGTTATTGAACGGTCTTCGACCGTTCGGTTCTTCTGGTAAACAGAGTTGAAATAGGGTTCTTTCATTTGGAGAGAATTTTAGTTGAGGACGAGCGTCCTCGTGTGGTAATACTATGCTTGAGCGTTCGGCCAAACACAGTTGTATCTAGGTATCCTGTGATAAACTAAATTTATATATATATATATATATGTAATGGTATATTCTCGTTGTTCGTAAACACTACTTCGATAGTATCTTATTCTATTTATCAAGCCTTTTATTATAAGTTTATTAGTGTTCGGTCTTACACCAAGCGCTCGTACTGAGTAGTGCTTGGTCTTACACCAAGCGCTCGTACTCGTTTCTTATATAATCTATATTGATGAAAAATAGCATTCGTCTAACTTCAATAGAATTTTCTTCTCTACCGTGCTCGGTCATTGACTGGCATTCGGATTTCTTGATGTAAACTCACATAAGCTAAATATTCTTAAGCGTTCGTTTTCTTCAGATGAATCCTTCTAAGTATTCTTCTCTGAAAGTCTTGAAGTGTATACGTCCATTTGGTTCCGACTTAGAGCTTTAGTATTTGGCCTAGTTCTTTCTGCGTTCGGTTAGAACTCTCAAGGGTCAGTTCATCTAATTGACTCACTTTGTAAGTAACGTCCGTTCTAGTCATTCTTGCGATATGCAGTTGGCCTCGGTTTCTTTCGTAATCCGATAGTAACCCTCTCGGTCTTATTCTATTCTGGAACTAGAGACCTCTCTGTCTCGTTCCAAGTGTTCGTCCTCGTTCTGAGTGAGGATTGAACGTTCGGTATCTGGTGTCTTTATAAATCTTTGAACAAAGAGGAAATTGAAATGATTGACAATGAAAGATGAAACTAAGATGATTGATAATGGAAGATGAGGAGAATATGATATGAATGAAATGTGTTGGAATTATGAACGAGCGTTCCGGGGAGGAACGACTCATGTTTGAATATTGAATTTGTAAAGTATGACTGTGGGAAGCTAATGCTTTACCCGGCCCCCAATCCATATAACCTTTCTTGTGAGGGTGCCTTTGAGGGAGTTGGCGTTTGTTCTTTCGTGATTGTTTTGTGGCTCGAGTCGGGTGCTAGAGTGACCCTGTGATCAATTGTCATGGTAGCAAGATGTTATTAGGTGTCTGAGCCGCCACCTCTCCAAATTTCTTTTTGTGAATGATTGGTATAGTTCCCCTCAACGCTCCGGTCTCCAAGCTCCACCCCCTCCCGCACCTCTTTCGTGTTCCCCACTCGTTTCAATCCAACTGGGCTTTTTCTCGCTATCGCCGTGGCCACTTCCGACGGGAAAGAGGACCCCATCCGGACTTCGGTCATCACCATCTTCCCATGTTCCCCTCGTTGTGACCTCCGCGCCCGTCATGTACTCAGTCCCACCGTTCCACCTTTCCGAAAGGAAAAAGAAGAATGAAACGTGCGACGCCCCCTCTTCGGATAGAGATTTGATCCTCAGCGACGGCGGCAAGAGAATTGCTTCGCGACGCGGCACGACCACGTGCCCCACCGGCAGGATGAGCTTCTGATGACAGTAGCTGGCTTCAGGCGTCCACTGTATAAACTAGCTTGCGGTCATATTCGAATTTAGAATGCACGACTATGATGAGCTGGACCTTGCGGAGGATGCTAGGTATGACTGGTGCGTGCGAAATATATCTGAGACAGGTAAAGTCCGACTTAAACTTGTGCGCCCGGGAGGGGCTGGAGGAATGATTGCGGTGCCAGAGAGTTCTTAAACTGTTGGGCACCTAGAATTCAAAAACTGCAGTTTCAGGCGACACACTGACACTAGGGGCGCCCGCGGAGAAATCCTTGACGACTGCGAGTGTCATGGTATGCACAACTATTAGAGGGATGAGGTGTGTAATGGTCTCAGTGGATAAATGAGTCGCAGACGAGCTCATTATGTAATGTGGTTGCGGAGAATTCTTTAAAACTTGTATATATATACACACACATATATATATATGCACACACATATATATATACACACACACACACATGTATATATATATACACACACACACACATATATATAGACATAATTAAAATATAAATCCCCTTTTCTGAATAATTCATATATTTCCACCTTGGTTTTCTTCGTTTTTCTCTTATGTGATCTTTTGAAATCTCTTTTTTTTTATGTGCTAGATTTCTAGCCCAGTATAGATTTGATGTATCAAAGATGGAACCATTGGTTGCGAGGGTACTTTGACTTCAACTCATCATATTCTTTGGCTTCATTTTGCCATAAAAGTGTAAAGAACTTTGTATTGTAAAAAATCATTGTGTTTGATTGCTAATATAGCGTAATATGTTTAAACCACCACACAGCCACATTCCCCTGATAATCGTGCTTTGGCAAGAGAATGCAACCATGTGAAAATTGACAGAGTATACATTGGATCCTGTACTGGTGGAAAGACTGAAGATTTTATGGCTGCAGCAAAAGTTTTCTTAGCGGGTGTATGTCTATTACAATTTCTTATTCTACTTCATATTCTTTATAACATACAAACTGCATATATTTTATGGTGGAGATTGGATTCATTTTGAGGAGGGCTTGAAACAATCACTTCTCTTCATGAAGGATGACAATCCTGTAGTGACTTTCATGTCTATGTTTGGAATCTGTCATGATGATGAATTAGAATCAGGAATTTTGGATTGAGGCAAGCTTGTTATTTTTCATCACACCTGTAGTGGAAGTCTTCAAATTAAAAATCACTATAAATAAGTTTACTTCAATATCTATGTCTGATGTAAATGTGTTACCGTATATAATAACTCTTGCAAATGAGATTGTAAATAATAACACTTACAATGCATACAAGAAAAGCACAGGTTTTATGAAGAGAAGTATATGTGAGACAATAGGATATTTTGATCTTAGTTCTTATTTTTTATTTTTCTTCTTAGTAAACATTAGTAACTGGCACTTCTTTTTATTTCTTTATCATCTTTTGCATGATGAAACTGGTTCCATTGTAGGGAAAAACTGTCAAAGTTCCTACTTTTCTTGTTCCTGCTACACAGAAGGTGGGTGAAGGATTACTGTTTCTATTCAAGTTATGGGGTGTTCTCCTGTTTCATTAGTGTCAATTACCAAAATTGTCAAATTTTCAGGTTTGGATGGACCTGTACACACTTGAGGTACCTGGTTCAGGTGGCAAGACTTGTTCAAAGATATTTGAAGAAGCTGGATGTGATCATCCAGCAAGTCCTAGTTGTGCTGCATGTATGGGTGGTCCAAGAGACACATTTGGACGTTTGAATGAACCCCAGGTAAACCTGCACTTTCTTCAAATCGAACTTACCCTTTATAAAATATTGCTTAAAAAGAAAATTTTAGTGTGTAGCTAAAATAGTTGGATCTCTTGGAAACATCATATGACAAAAATTATTGTTCGGAGCCAAATATAAAACCCACAACGTAGTTGGATCATATTCCAGTTAACTCCACTGCCCTTCTGCTAAAGTCAAATTCCTTAGAAAAGGCTGGTTTGTATTTTCTGGAGCAGCTATAGATAAATGTACAGAAACTTCCTTTATATTTTGAATGTGTTATTGTTTTTGCTTTCGATGTAACCGATGAAAGGACACTCTATGCAGGTTTGTGTCTCAACAACAAATCGAAATTTCCCTGGTCGGATGGGGCACATAGAAGGCCAGATATATCTTGCTTCTCCGTATACTGCAGCAGCATCTGCACTAACTGGTTTCGTAACTGATCCCAGGAAGTTCCTGTAGATAAGCTACCATGTGTAGACAGCAGTTTCTACCTACTTGGAAAAATAAATGATAGAACTGGAAGGATTTATATGCTAGAGACAGAATCATGCATTTGGTAAAAATGAGCTTGTAAGCAGGATTTTTAAAACTACAGCAGTTGGAAAGTTGTCAAGATAGATTGGTATGGTTGATAATGTTTACAGAACAAGATATACATGCAAGGGTTTCTGTTGAAATTCATCTGCTACATTACAACACAAGAATAATACCATGCTTCTTAATCAATCACAGGGTGTGTTTTTCTTCTTCTTATAGTTAATTTCCTCATGTTATCAAGCAAGAATTGTCAATGAGTTGAGGAATCTGAAACTTTTGAAATTTGCCTCATAAATGCTTACTCAAGCATGTTTATTTAAGCACAAAATAGTTGACTTGAGTACTTGACATGTATATCCCATGGAGATTCATATATTCTCCAACGAGTGCATTGATGACATGGAAACAACATTTTGCAATAAGGCACAAGAATATTCCTATGTTGTTGTAGTGGGTTTGGATCCATCAGAGAAGGCTGCTGGTATTGTCGTCCATGGAGGCAGAGCGGCAGCGGCCCTTCTTTCTTTAGAGTCGCTGCCGACGTAGCATTCAACACTGCAGATCTTACTAAAGCATGAAAACAACCCACTCCCACTACGATCCGTACCCTTTACCCCGCCCCCACTCCTATAACCGTCGGTGTGCCTTTGAGAGTGGCGGCTCGTCTTTGTGCTCGACGTCGGGTGGCTAGAGAACCTGATCAATCACTGGTAGCAAGTCTGACCGCCACCTCTCCAATTTCGACTGTAACCCCTCCACGCTCCGGTCCAAGCTCCACCCTCCCGCCCTCTCGTGTTCCCCCTCGTCAATCACTGGCTTTCTCGCTATCGCCGTGGCCACTTCCGACGGAGATGGCCCCAGCTCCGACTCTGTCATCACCATCTGTCCCATGTTCCCCTAGTTTGACCTCCGCGCCGTCATGTACTCAATCCCACCGTTCACCTTTCCGAAAGAATGCATCGGCGCCCCCCTCTTCGGATAGAGATTTGATACCGTCAGCGACGCCCGGAACTGCGCGCCCCCACCGCCGGTGAGTTCTGAAACTGCGGCTTCGGAGACGCTAAATATTGCGGCTTCGAAGATGCCATATATTGCGGCTTCGGAGATGCTATATACTGCGGATTCTGCAAATTCTTAAACTGTGGCGCCGGAGAATTGATTGCGGTGCCAGAGAGTTCTTAAACTGTGGCACCCGAGAATTCATAAACTGCAGTTTCAGAGAATTCTTGAACTAGGGCGCCGGAGAATTCTTGAACTGCGGTGTCGGAGAGCTCATATAATGTGGTGCCGGAGAATTCTTAAACTGCGGCGCCGAAGAGCTCATATAATGTGGTTTAGGAGAATTCTTATACTGCCATGCCGGAGAGTTCATATACAGCGGTGCCGGCGAGCTAGTATGCTGCCTTGCCGGAGAATTCGTGAACTGTGGTGCGGGCGAATTTATATACTGTGGCACTGGAGAGTTTCGGAACTGGTGTTCTGGGGTGGCGCGAGTTTCGTACGTAACGTTGTTAACTAGAATATATTCTTCCTCTATGGCGTCGGTAACGAAGATGTTTTGGCCAATGCTAACGTCGGAATCGGAGTTAGCATCAGAATGCGCGTCGGTGGTCATGGTGCTGGGTTTGAAAATCTTCGTATATTGACATCGTTGTTGTAGTGCTGAAGTGGCGAAATCTCCTCCACGTGGCCATTCATTTCTTTTGAACCCTTCTTCTCATTCTCACTGCTGTTTTCGCTTTCTTTCTTAACCAACTAAAACCACTTAAATCCTATCCATTCCTTTTTTAGACTAAATGGGTAATTAACTATTTTTTTAACTACTCCTTCCTTCTCACATCGCCTAACTATCTATCAATAAATACTATTTTTAATACCCATTTACATGTAATATTATTTTTATTATTTCTCAGATCTAGTAAAATCCAAGCACGTGTCGTTAGTGGAATTTACGTATCAAGAGGGAGGCTCGACACTCAGATGAGGAACGCCAGGTGTCAAGTGAAGGGGATCCGGAAATCAGTTAGTGGAAAACAAGTGTGGACAGATGAGGGGACGTCCGTTTTGAAGTGTGAAGCAAAACTTGGATTTTCAGAAAAACCTACCCCACTCTCTGCATGCACCCTCTTTTCAAAATTTCTGAAGAATCTCATTCTCTCCTCCTTCTCTCTATATCCTCTTCATCTTTTCTCTGAGAAAACACTCATTTTCTCTTCTCCGATCACTGTTCCAGCACCATAGAAGCACTTCCGGCGTCAAGAGCTTCCAGATAAACCGTTCGGTTTGTGAAGCTGGGCTGGTAAGTCCTTCTCTTCGCTCTGTCATTCGTTTTCCTAAACATACAAACCCAGTTCTGGGTTTGTGTGTTGATCACCATTCTTAAAATGAGTGGTTCTGATAGTGTCGGGTCAAGCGTTGGCGGTAGAAGAATCCTGTAGTGGTGAAATTGTATTTCTGCGTCTGGAACGTACGTTCACGCTAGAGGTAAGGGAAGCTTATTTAATTTAATTTGTATGTTGTTGTATTGTATGAACGTTCGTCAGTGACTGAATGATTTTTATGCATGATGGTTGATATGATTGGATTGAATGAACGTTCGTTTATTTAATGAGTGTAACTGAAATATGGCTGAGTTATGTTATAATGTATGAAATATATGAAACTTATATGATATGGATTGTATGAAGTATGAAAGTCGATTATAATATGAATGTATAAAGTTATGAAACTATATGTTAAGAAATGAGACAGATATAAATTAATTCTGAATATGAAATTTCTCACATGAAAGTGTACGTTCGTTATTGAACGGTCTTCGACCGTTCGGTTCTTCTGGTAAACAGAGTTGAAATAGGGTTCTTTCATTTGGAGAGAATTTTAGTTGAGGACGAGCGTCCTCGTGTGGTAATACTATGCTTGAGCGTTCGGCCAAACACAGTTGTATCTAGGTATCCTGTGATAAACTAAATTTATATATATATATATATATGTAATGGTATATTCTCGTTGTTCGTAAACACTACTTCGATAGTATCTTATTCTATTTATCAAGCCTTTTATTATAAGTTTATTAGTGTTCGGTCTTACACCAAGCGCTCGTACTGAGTAGTGCTTGGTCTTACACCAAGCGCTCGTACTCGTTTCTTATATAATCTATATTGATGAAAAATAGCATTCGTCTAACTTCAATAGAATTTTCTTCTCTACCGTGCTCGGTCATTGACTGGCATTCGGATTTCTTGATGTAAACTCACATAAGCTAAATATTCTTAAGCGTTCGTTTTCTTCAGATGAATCCTTCTAAGTATTCTTCTCTGAAAGTCTTGAAGTGTATACGTCCATTTGGTTCCGACTTAGAGCTTTAGTATTTGGCCTAGTTCTTTCTGCGTTCGGTTAGAACTCTCAAGGGTCAGTTCATCTAATTGACTCACTTTGTAAGTAACGTCCGTTCTAGTCATTCTTGCGATATGCAGTTGGCCTCGGTTTCTTTCGTAATCCGATAGTAACCCTCTCGGTCTTATTCTATTCTGGAACTAGAGACCTCTCTGTCTCGTTCCAAGTGTTCGTCCTCGTTCTGAGTGAGGATTGAACGTTCGGTATCTGGTGTCTTTATAAATCTTTGAACAAAGAGGAAATTGAAATGATTGACAATGAAAGATGAAACTAAGATGATTGATAATGGAAGATGAGGAGAATATGATATGAATGAAATGTGTTGGAATTATGAACGAGCGTTCTGGGGAGGAACGACTCATGTTTGAATATTGAATTTGTAAGGTATGACTGTGGGAAGCTAATGCTGGCAGTTCATCCTGATGTTCCGTGAGTACTTGTCCTCACGTAGAGGAGGGTAGGTCATGTGTGGGAACGGCAGGAGGTCCTAGTCCTTAGGGGTACTTTGGACGGAACGGACTAACCTCGGGTGGCAGCTGATGAGAGTATTCCAGTTACTACATCACCCGGGTGCACGAACGCCTGTAGCTACGCAGATTTCATACAGTCCGGACAGTCAGTCTAGTGATAGGCTTGTGTGATACGTACGTTGAAATTTATTTGGTGTTGAATTATTTGAAATGTATGTTTATGCATGAATTAAATTATATAAGCTTACCCTGCGTTTCCTGTCGTGTCTGGTTTTGTATGTCCGTCCTTGTCATTGCAATGATCATCCGTGTGGATGTGAGCAGAAGGAGTCGAGCTGCTGGAAAAGGCGTTGGAAGAAGAAAATTTGGAAGAAATCGAATTTAAGACCGAAGAGTAGGACGTTCGGTCAATAGTCTAGTTATAGTAAGATGGACGTCCGATCACCTTCCCTTTTGTTTAAGTATGAACGATCGGTATTGTTATTTTGTAAACCGGTCGGATAGTTTGGGTAGCAATGTACAGCTTAAATTTGTAACTCTTTCTGTAAGGTCGTTCGGCCATGAGCGTACGCTCAACTCTAGTGCAAGACTAATTTGGATTATTATTAAAGTAATTATTCTATCATATGATTTATTGTTGTATTTTGGGATGTTACATTACTCAACAACAAAACTCATTTAATGTAAATAATATTTTCATTTACATTCTTTTTAAATAGTTTTTTTATTCATAAAAACCATTCAAACTATAAAAAAAAATTAGATTTCATTCATTATTGATTTTGTTTGATAAAAAGTTGTGCAGACATACACATATACAAATACAATAAAATCAACCAATGTAAGTACTTTCATGTGACAATACTCTTTCTTCCTGCGCTTCTTCAGCAGAATCACGTTGGTCTTGCTTCTGGTGGGTGGTCTTTTGACCTTCTTTTCATAACTCCACTTTCAAAACTAAAATCAATTATATTTTTCACTTTAATCTTAATTAATAAATTATTTTTTATCCTTTTAAGCTTTCAATGTTTACCTTCTCAGCCCAAGTTTGTCAAAAAGTTAATAAGAAAGTATTGCTTGTTATATAGAATAAACAAAATTAGACTTTTATTACATTTTTATTTTTATAAATTTGTACAGTTTTTCTAGCTCAATTTTAAAAAAAATTGAGGACGAAGCGCGATCTATTAATATATGAGAACTAAATATACAATTATTGTGGTCATGTTCCTCCTCGTGGTCTAATGAAAGGTGGACTTGGGATCTGGATTTTTGTAACATAAAGCAAGTGAAAAATCTTTCAAAAGCTTGGACCAGAATTAATGCTGATAAACTAGAAACAAACAATTTGCCATTTCTCAATAACTCAGTCTCTTGCCATAATATTGCTAGCAATATTTAACAACCGACCTTGCTTTTTTAGGTTGTGTTTTTCATCCTTGTATTTGTATATCAAGTTTAACATCTCTGAGACTAGCAGCAAACTACAGATATTGGCATATCTTGTTGATAGCACCATGGACAGTTCCAAGTCAGTGATGGAGGATGACTTTGAATCGACAACCTTGTATTCAGCTCCATCATTTGCAATATACAACAACCCTGACGGAGATGATGGCATCACCCCAGAAGATATTTTGAAGAAAACTGTTTTGTTTGGACAGAGTTTGGAAGTCACGGGCAGTGGTGAGTTCAGTTTTGAGAACAAGAGGATGGATTTGATTGAGGAAGCTGAGAATGAGAATGATTGGTCCAATGGGATTCAGAATTTGAGTATTGAAGAGGAAGATGTTGAACCAGCTAGTCCTCCCATGTATCTGGCAACGGGGCTTGGGGTTGATGCTGACATAGGATTTGATAAACTTATGGATGATGATATATTTAATCCCAACTTGCAAGAAAGTGAGGATCTTGAAGGGTATTACAAGAGGATGATTGATGAGTATCCCTGCCACCCTTTGCTTCTTAAAAAGTATGCGCAGTTTTTACAAGTGAGTTGTCAATCATGAATGAAACTGATTGCAAATCTTGCAGATTTTGGATTAGTTTGTGCATTCTTCAATTCAAAAATACATCAGTTTTGAAATTTTGGTTCTGACATGAATAGATGCAGGTCTTAGTTTTAGATTGATATGGGCATAGACATTGAACCTTTCATGTTTGTAGTAAATCCCATGAGGCATGTCTATTTGGACAACTCGTTTTCTGAAAATCATATATAAGTGTTAATTAGGTTTGTAGGAGGCATGCTTGGATGACAAACTAAGGCATATTGTTTAATCATCATCTTTTAGTTTCTTTGAGACTAGCATGAAGTTTCTCATAGTTCTTCTCAGAAGCTTGACATCCAATTTTTTACATCTAATAATGATAGTCTAATGGAGACCTTCAAGGGGCTGAAGAATACTTTCTTCGAGCTACCATGGCAGATCCTAATGACAGTGAAACCTTGACACAGTATGCGAAGCTAGTGTGGGAGAATCATCGTGACAAGGATACAGCATTAGTCTATTTTGAACGTGCAGTTCAAGCTGCACCTCAAGACAGGTAGATTGCCAGAGCCGAAATATCCATGTCATTTAAAATTAAATACAACATGGTCATTGTGCTTTAAAGGCTAAAATTATCATCAGTTAGAGCTTAGTACTGGCCAAAAAGTTGCTCTTCAACCTTACTCCAGCCTGCAGAAATTGAAAGCTTCTATTTAGACAAACCAATTCTTCAGTTTTCCTTGACTAAAAAAATAAGATAACGATAAGCATGTAATATATCCTTTTCAGCCATGTTCTTGCAGCATATGCTAGTTTTCTCTGGAAAGTCGAAGATTTTGAGGATGAAGATGGAAAACATGAAATTCAGGTGCTTTTGCCTTTTCTGATCTTTTCATTCCTTAGGGGTCATTTCTTCTTCTGAATGACACATTGATTATTTAATACTCACGGTTTTTATCTAAGCGCAGAGTGACATGGAAAATCAAAAGACCGAACTTTTGAACTCCTCCAAAGAAACAAGCGATCCAATCAGCCAAGTTTCAGTTCTTTCAAGTAGACAGGAGACTGATGCAGCACAAATTACAGCAGCTAATTGTGGTGAAGAAAGTAATTTTGAAGATTATTTTCAGAAGATGATTGATGAAAATCCAAACAATCCTTTGTTTCTGAAAAAGTATGCTCAGTTTCTGTTGCAGGTGAGGTTTTTCATTTTATTTTAATTTTCAGAGTCAAACAAATCTTTTAGGAAATACGTTAGGCGTATGATTAATCACCAATACATGATTCTTTGTCTAATTTTCTTTTTTGAATGAAGAAAGTCTTCTTACCATTATTCTCTATTCTCTTTCGTTATAAAACATTTTATTTTGGGTTTGCTGGGACGAAATCAGTACACAGAATATTCATTTATGGCTTTAAACAACAACCAGCCTCTTACAAATTGAGGCACAAACTATGACTAGTTACATGAACCTCTCTCTCCAATTATAATGAAGTCTTTAACAAGCAAGGGGCTTTGCACTATAGCCCCTTCATATAATCCATAACTACCATAATAGAATTAAGCATGTCTGATCACTATTCATCATTACAGCTCAAGTGTATATATTAGAAATTACATGAGTGTAAACTTTATATCACTTACTTTATGATTAGAGAATTCTGAGCCTTGTAAAGTTGCGTTCATGCACCTCCACTTTAAATGTACAGTCCAAGAGAGATCATCAAGCAGCAGAGGATTACTACTCACGTGCAATAGTAGCTGATCCCAGTGACGGTGAAATGATATCAGAATATGCCAAACTAGTATGGGAACTTCATCATGATGAGGAAAAAGCTTCATCTTTATTTGAGCAAGCAGTTCAGGCTACTCCTGGGAATAGGTACAGTTTTGAGACACACTTATATAAAACGTTATGCTTCTGAACATGTTTATAATTCTGAAAAATAGGAGAGAAAAATTCATGGTGGCCAGGCTCTTCTTGATCCTTCGTTGAAAGAATTATTGAATCATCTATAACTAGTGCTCAATGCACTATATAAGTGCCCTTAATTCTGAACAAAAGAAAAATAAGTATTTGCATAAATAATTAAGATGCAACTTTTCTTCTTTCAGCAATGTTCTGGCAGCATATACGTCCTTTCTCTGGGAAACAGATGATGGGGAAAGCTGAAATTTAGAGGCAGAGCCATTTTCAAGTGATATTCTGCAGAAAAATGTGCCAAATAAATGCTTGTGGTTGCTGGTGAATAAAGAAACTGCACACAATCAACACATCTAAGCAGAAAGTTTAACTCATCCACAATAAAGAAAATCACATTTATTTACTAACTGCATTTCTTTGGCCTTTATTTTTCTAGAATGGCATGTATGTAATGGTTCAGCAGGAGAATAATAACTTACGAAATGATTTATGATTAAGTTAAAAAAGCTAGTTAAGAAAATTTATTTCCCTAATTAGTATGGCATTCGTTGAGATGTACCCGCTAATTGATGGACCTTGTTTTAATCTATTCTGATACTACTATGCCTATCCTTGTTACGCCAAAGAGCTAGTTAGGGATAAAAAAAGTTCATGCAGAGTCACATGAAAGATTCCATGGAAAACCTACACTTGTTTTTTGTGAAGATGAAGTGATGCTAATAATAATAATGACTGAGACAACGTAATAATATAATTTTTTTTTATTGTGTTCCAATGACTTGTAATGAAAATTCTAGTTTGAAATGCCCAAGCGCACGCAAAATGATCTCATTTGTTTTTAAGAATATATTAACAAATTATACACAATTCACTGGATTTTTAAGAAGTTTCTACAGGAAAATTTTAATGAAAACGCTCATAAATTACACATATTAACAAATGTTACAAAATAACAGACCATACACAATTTGATTTAGAAACAATTAAATTATCTTAACCATTTATTGTTTCGTATATTTCCTCCAAGAAAGTATGTAACAGTTCGTACAACTCTAAATGACCCTGAAACAAAACGGCTCTTACATTAAAAATAAATAAATAAATAAGAATCATATTCCAAGAACATAATTTAAGGCATAAAAATATCAATATTTGGTTCTTAACATCTATTGAAAGTGACTATTTGATACTGTAATCTCAAAAATTGATTCTCTTGTTAAAAAATTATGGTTATTGTTGAACCTTGAAAATCTCAATATCCGCTCTCTTGGCGGGTAGTGGGCCTATAGAAAGCGTTTCCTCTGGTTTTGTTGTACTCCCTTTCACCTCCATCTTGCCCATTTCCCCTGCCATAGCTCCTTGGACCAAAACGCCCTATCTGTGCTTCTGATTGATAGCTACTTCTTCCTCTGCCCCTCCCTGTTGATGATCAAGTCAGAACAACCAAAAATCTGAAAAAGAAAAAATGTTTCTAGAAAATAATCATAAGCTACAAATTTTCAGATTCAAAAAAAACAACTTCTTTACTATTTGAGCTTATGTCCCAAAAGTCCAGTTTATTTAAAAAATAAAAAACAACTTATTTTCAGAAAAACAGCTAAAAATTTGAAGAAAAAAAGCTTCACAAACATGTAAGTTCTCTGAACTTTCATTTTAACCAAGAATTATATGTGTGTGTGTGTGTGTATCTTGAGTCAAGGATATTCATGAACAGAGAAATTTTGCAGAAGAAAAAACACAACAGAGATGAAAACTTAAGAAGACATACTTCCTCCTCGGGAAGGGATGTTACTGTTTGGTCTTCGTTCCTCAATGTATACTTGTCTTCCTGCTACTTCAACAGATCCTGCCTGTAAACATACAAAACAAACATGAGTCTACTTCTTATGAAATTGAAAAAATGTAACTGAACCTGGAAATATACCAAAGATCAGAAACAGTTTAATTTGTTAGATCAGCAATGCAGGTCGAAAACTTGTGTAATCATTGTGAGCAACTAGTATGTTTAACATTGTTTTTTGCTGAAAAGGGGGTGATATTAAAACATGATTTTAATTCCAAAGCAAGTGGATATCATAAATTTATCTAAAACGGAATCCAAACCTTGACTGCATTATGAACCCCATTCATATCTTCAAATTCAACAAATGCATAGCAGACTCCGACATCCTGGAGATAACTGGAAAAATTAGCTCTGTAATGGGATACAAATGAATTAATAAAGTAAAATAGTTATTTAAAACATAGTAGTCATTCCCTAATAGCAGTGCAAAGCCACATAACTGCTAATTTGAAGTTACACATTACATTAACTACAATACAAATACCTAATATTTAAGATGGAGACGTTTTTTATCAATGCAAAGACAACACCAGATTAGAATTTAGAGGAAATAAAAATTATATGGTAGAGCTTAGAAGAACAAGAGAGCACAGAACACTGAATACAAGACCTGTTCTATTACAGACTGAGAGTGGTGAAAGACCAGAGGATAAAACAGAGCAATGTTGTAAGACTGAAGGATTGGTCAGATCAATGCCCAAAGAAAGCTGTGATGTCAGAGATTTCGTGACAAAAAGATGGATGGGGATTCTCTCTGAGTGGGCATGGCATGCAAGCGAGGGAGGAATAGAGATTTTGATCGGATAAAACATCAATTGTACGAAATCCCAACATTTTCCCCATAAAAGAGCACAATATGACACCACTACAGTGCCGGAAGAGGAAGTTTCATTTGCAAACATAGTAAACGAAATTGCTATAATTGCACGTCAAAGCACACAAAATCACACTAATACACAAAAGCTGCAATCCAATGTGCAAAGCTGCTATAGCAGCACCATCACATGTGATTGACTACAATGATTTGATGATGTAAAAACCTACCTTGCGACTTCTTATGACTACACCATTAGGTCGAATCCTACCGAAATTCTTCAATTCCTCTTCAATTTCAGAAGCAGAGACGGTAGGGGACAAGTTTCTCACATAAACAGATTTGATTTCATCTGTAGGCATTTTCAATAAAATAAAATGTTACTAATAAATGAGTAGTTAAAAATAAAACCCACAGATAAGCAAGCAATGATTCTTTTAAGCAAATTAGATTATTGGTGAAAAGATGTAATGAACCGTCATAAACGGGCATCAACACCAGAGTAACTACCTAAAAAAAATAAAAATAAAAATTGAATGAATTAGTCTCAACAAGTACACACAGTAACCTTCATCATCAGCTGTGGGAATGTCCTCCGCTATATCAATCTCAGACCTTTCAAATGCTTTAGTGAATGTAGGTGTTTGCTGACTATTTGTTGGTGTAGAATGCTCCTTATCCAAAGAAGGCGCCTTCTTCAGAGATGGCTGAGAAGCTACAGATAGTGTGACTTGTCCTTTAGCAACCTGTAACTTCCAACAGTTTCATAACATAGTCAGTTCCGAAGTCATAACATAATCACAAAAAGAAAAACATCGTGCAGCAAGTAATCCATTCATTAGTTCACACATACGATGGAAGCATAAGTATGTTTTAGGGGCTCCTCAGGAGGTTCTTCGGCAGAAGAAGGTGCAAGTTCTTGCACATCATTCACAGAAGGTTGAAAAAAACCATGTGACTCTTCAATGATAACATCTTCCTGAACATGTTCAGATTCATGGACTTGTGCAATTTGTTGCTGTGAAAATCCATAGGTATTGACTGCCCCGTTTTCTTTGACCTCATTTCTAGCAACGAAGTCCCTTGCCTGTATATCTCCACCCAACAGGTAGTTGGAAACTGTAAAAGTAAAACTCATAGATCTCAATTACTAGAAAATACTAAATTTTGAAAAAAAAATTGAAATTTTGATGATTTATAAGAACATTTATCGATAATAAATGCAATTTGCAATTAATCTCCCCTTCCCATCTTACAATATAAAATAAAATCACCACCAACCACTTGTTAATGACAAATTCATATGGATATATGGTTCAGATTATAAAGCTAGAAACTCTTGGTTATGGCAATTAATCTTCACTTACCATTTTACACTAAAAAATATCACCACCAACTGCTTGTTATGGCTAAACTCATACGGATATGTGGTTCAGATATATTAAGCTAGAAACTCATTGATAGAAATCTGTGGTTGCCATTTATACTAAGTCCCTATTTGTGTAAAAGAAAACAAAAAACAAATCAAACGTTCTTCTATAAGTTAAATCAAAATATGCAAGTCAATTTTCAGAGAAGTTAAATGAGAGATTTTCACTAAACAGCATAAGTTGATTTTAACTTATGAGAAAAGTTCAGTTTAACTCTCATTTTCTTCTCTGAAAATATTTAGAACATGTTTATCCAAATAGAACCTAGCAGCTAAATTAAAATTTGATAACAGCAACAATACAGTCGTGAATGTGACAATGGCCGGTGACAATGGATAACTGATGGGTGGTGATGATGTAGAGAATAGACAAAATACAACATTTGACTATGCATAAACAATAAATACAGACCTGCAATAATAAGCTACACAGTTATCAGTTGCAGTAGCACCAGATGCAATGCACGTGATGATAATAGCTTAGGAATCCAAATAAGGGAATAAAGTTCAATAACTTACATTTTCTGACTTAACACCTGAAGAACTACCAGATCCTCTGGGACAAGCAATATATAATGAAAATTTGACTACCAGTCTAAGTCGGGTTTTGAACAAAATCAGATAAAAAAAATCCACATAAAAGAACAGGGATCATCCATGACGACAGTAGAAAGTCATAGAGACCTAACTTCTGAGTACATAAAGCAGTAGAAACAATATTGCACTTTTCATTTATCTTCAAATGAAAATAACTAATAAGTGAAGCAATAATTATAAGATTCAATCAAAACTCAAGATCCCAAAGGCTGAAGTAGAACATACCTGGTTTATTAATTGTACTAGTAGCATTTAATTTTGAGTCAAAATTGCTCTGAGCCAAAAATACAGGCTGGAGATTATGAACTGGCTCCTCGTCAACAAAGTGAAAAATATCATTGAGCACAAAGAAGCCCTTTTCTTGGGGTGCAAGGAAGAATAATTGCATAAATTTCCTCCTCACATTGTAGTCCTTAAGTTGCGCAGAACCAAAAACCGATATAAGAACGCCACCACTCCAAGATTCCAGACATTGTACTGTCTTGATTCCAATTCCAGTAAAACTGATTGACATAATAAGCGCGTGGATTTGCTGCCCAGAGAGAAATTTCTTTAATTCTGGAGGAAATAAGAGTTTCACTATAATAATTGGACAAAACCAGAACAGTTCCACTACTAAATAAACTGACTAATATACTAATTCAAAAACAGCGGTCAGAACCTCTTATCAAAAATTGACTAATATCACACAAGAGAAAACCAGAACAAAAAGCTAGAAAGGCTGAAAATGACCTATAACATATTCCAAATAATCAAATTTCCAATAATGCAATTATATTTCAAACCACAATATAAATGCCAAAATATCCTTAAAATAGAAAACAAAAGAAAAAAAAAAACGAACCAGCATTGCAGTGGCAGTGTCCCTGGCGTTGCCATCAATGCGTATCATAGTGCTGGCGTCAGAGTAGAACTGATACACCAACTCGGGCTTGGTCTCAAGAACATGGTAGTACTGCCCCACAAAGTAGGTACCCACCTGAACAAAACAAAATGGTTGCTTTTCAGGTTAATTATCATGGCGGAGAAAAAGGGTGTGTGGTAAAAAGAAATTACACGTGAACCTGAGTAGCGGAGAGGGGAAACGGAAAGGGTGTGGCCATTGTAGAAAACCCTAAAAAGGAGGCGTCTTTCCCCCTCCCCCAATCAAAACCTCACCTCACCTCAGATCCCCCTTGAGATCTGCACCACAGCAAGAGGTGAGATTTGAGACACAGAGAGAAAGAGAGAGAGAGAGAGAGAGAGAGAGAGATTTATTTTGTTTAGTTAATGTTGTCTGTGTTGTGATATGTTAAAGTTTAGTTTTGTTTTGTCTGGGTCTGTGTTGTTGATGATATCATATTGCTGGAAGATGGAAGAAGAAGCTTTCCCCTTTTCTTGAGCCTTCACCCACTTCACTGTCTCACTCTTTAGGCTTAATTGTATTTTTTTTTTCTCCATTAATTCCCAATATGAGATATTTTGGTGTTTCAGATTTTAGCGCCTCAAATTAGGCTTTTACCTTTTAAAATTAATGAAATTTGTTCCACCTATTAAAGTTTTATCCCATTTTGTGCATCTAGAATGACATAGATGGCATTTTCTAATACGACAATAACATTACATAACATCATCATTTGTTCAAAATATAAATTTGATTTATTTGATGGTGTTTTCTCTTGTCACAATAGCTTTATTAGATATGTTACTTGTTACATATAATGTGATTCTTTTAACATGTTATTTTGAGTGAATTTGAAGGAGTGGATTTGAGAAAATTTGAAGATAAATTTTTTTGTCGTTTATTTAAGTGAATTTGGAGGTAAATGAGAGTGAATTTGGAAATAAATTTTTTTAATTTGTCACTTCAATACAATTCTATATTAATTCTCACTAATTTTATTTTCAAATTCACTCTCATTTACCTCCAAATTCACTCAAATAAACGACAAAAAAATTTATCTTCAAATCCCCTCAAATCCACTCAAAAGACAAAAAAATTTATCTACAAATCCTGTCAAATCCCCTCAAATCCACTCAAGAACAGGGCTTAAACTGCATGCGATTTGACTTCGTTGTCATTTGTAATCCACCATCTCATGATCTTAATAACTGGACAGTGTTTATTTTAAAAGGTAAAATAACTTAATTAAAATAATAAAAACGACATACATAAAATTCACTTCGGTGTCATCCTCACACTATAACAATTAAGAACACAGATAAACCTAATAATAATAAAGATAAATGATTGGATTTTTTTTCTTTTGACATATTTTTAATTTAATTCAAATATAGTACACAAAATTGTATTATCATTTAATAACATATTATAAAATTATTGTTTTTTGTAAGCATATGTTTTTATTAGTTAACCATATAAATAACTTTATGCAATGAAAATCAAAGTTTAATTTATACATAAGCAAAATATTGTTTAAATAGATATCTAATATTATAACTCTCTCATAACCATATCATTGTTGTACCGTACGGTCCTTCCACACTTTTGTCCTTATGTATGGTTCTTCTATGATTATCCTTCTAGGCCGATCATTCAGGTCAATCATCCAAAACGACCATCCAGGTCGACTGGCCGGTAGAACTGAGTGGGCGACCATCCATGTCGACCACATGGTTAGATTATAAACGATAATGACTTATTAAGTCCCTAATGAAGGTTAAGGTGCGACCGTTATTAGGTCGGCGAAAGGTAAAGGTTCATTACCAACTAGTATAAATAAAAGGTCTCAGGTATGACTTTAGATCACGATGCACAATATACATGCATTACTTGCTCTTCCAACCGCTCTGTTACATTACTAACTTAAGCGTCAGAGTGCCTTTGACAGGCGTCCGCCCACACGGCTTGGACAAAGAGGAGAAAAGATGACCACCAGGAAGTTCGTCCAGCCTACATGCCAACTAGAATAATTAGTGGGCAGCTCATTCGGTCTTAGAGACAATATAGAGTGTTTTGAGCAAGGGACCTCCATATCCCACCGAAACAATTGTAATGAATAGAATATGTAAAAATATTTTACAACAATAATATGTATAGATTTAATTTATTAATGGAGTTAATAAATCAATTCAATCTAACATAATATATATTTAAATATATTTCTTCATAAAAATCAGACTAAAGTTTTATATTCTTTTTTATAAAAACACTATTTGAAATGTTTTTCTGCTTTGGTTATTTTTCTCATAAAATGTCCATAATTTATGAGTCGTTTTCTAAATGCCATAGATAGTTGGCAACATACACTAATAAGTTGATGTGTTTCTTAATAAAAAAAAACAATATTTTTAAATAAAAACAATATTCGAAAGACATTATTTTAAATGTGTTGTTTTTATTACTTTGTTTGTTATTGGTTTCTCGTATATTGTTTTATAGTCACTCTTTTTTTTTTTTTTTCTAAAAACAGGTTTAATTTTTCCCTAATAATTGTTTTAACTAGTCAAGTTATTAGGATTAATCTTTATATACAATAAAAATGTTATAAAATATATTTATAATATACAATTTATACTAAAGACGATACTGATTTTAATATATATTTGTAATTTATAATTGTATTCTTATTAGGGCAAGGTTTTAATAACTGGAATGTGATAACTAGTTTTTTATTGTGTAAACTGTTTTATGTTTACAACATTCTATTACGTAAAAATTAGTTTAAAATAAATCTTTCAAAGTTAGGTTTCCAAACATTCATTAAGAATATTAAAAACAATTTAAGAGAAATGTTATGCTATAAATATTACTTCTATTTACGGTTAAAATATTATTATGGTATTTAATGATACGAGACTATTTGAATTACTATAATATTTCATTTTTAAAATTAAGTCTCCATAAGGATAACGATTCCACACGAATAATGAATAATAAAAAGAAAACTAAATGTATGTCTAAATTATGGCCATGTGTCACGTTTTCAACATTATTATATATGTAAATAAACATGTACAGATTTTTATAATACTTTTTTCCAAAAAGAAAAGGTCTCCAGCATTAATAGGAAGAAATAATAAAACTCATTATTCACTAAATGTTGAGGAGCAATGGTAATTCAGGTTCGACAACATTAGGTGGAGGTTCAAGAACAAAAAAGTTAATAAGGAATGAGAGAAAGGAGTGGTGAAGGAAGGATGACAACAACTTTTGCAAGGATGAAGGTTTGGTACGAGTGTAAAATTTCAGAAAAAATAGTCCTAAACATATATTTAGGCTTCAAATATTAGTAAATTTGAAGCCTGTTTGAAGCCGAAACATCTCTCAAAAAATTAAATAAAAAATATTAGTGGCATTTTTTAAATTAATGAAAACTTTTAGGTATCAATGCTTTGACAACTAAAGTCGAAACATGTATATGTTTTCTTTTTTATTAAAATCGAAGTATGAATATTTTCAATAATTTTAAAAATGTCATTGCATTTTGATAAACTTTGTTTTTGTTAAAACTAAGTTAAATGAGTTCTTTTATTCTAATCCACTCAAATGAGCTACCAAAATTTTATGAATTTTTTTATATTTTATGTGAAAAAGCTAATAAAATATTTATTTACTCATCTAATCAATGTATAAAATGATTTATCAATTTTTTTATATACTCGTTTAATTAGTATATGGACAAATATGTCTAATGTGTATTGTTAGACTCGTATAATGTTTTTCGTTATACTCATACACTGACTGTATAAACAAACTCGTATAATGTGTATTGGAAGATTCATCTAATCAATAAATAAACACACTTGTCTAATATGTATTAATAGACTCTTTTAATTTATGTAAGGAATCACTTGTCTAATGAATATTGTTAGTAGGGATGAGAACAATATTCGCTTTTGTGGTTATCCGCAGATAAAATTTGTGACCGATAGTTGATACCTATATGTAATAAATACATGTGGGTAGCTGATAGTAGATATTTTAATACATTACGTCGAATGCGGATATTATACTATCTATACTTACGGGTATCCATTACTCGCAAAATATTAAAATAAAAATTTAATTTATATTTAACTTATTATATTTTTATATTCGCAAGTATCCACGGTTATGTGCGAGTTTTAAAATATCCACAAATATTTTTAAATGGCTATCTGTTAGGGCTTCACCTGATACAATTTGTAGGGAGGGACAACACACACATACACATAAATATATATTGTCCGCTTTGGACCAAGCCCTCACGGATTTGCTTTTGATATCACTCTAAAAGGTCTCTTAACAATGGAGATATGTTATATGTATATAAACCCATGTTCATCTCTTATTTTTGTTTGTACCCAACAGATTCGACCCGTGTAAAATGATAATAGTAATAAGGAGATTATTGCAATTATGATTATAATTACAGTGATGATAATAAACAATAATGATGGACAGTCAAGATGACGATTGGAGTTGTAGTATAATATTTATAGAAACGATATTGATAATATTTAAATACGTAAGAATTTATGTTTTAGGTAAAAATATCGGTGACAATAAGTCTAACAACGTATGTTTTATGTGATAAATTAGTGGGTGAATTAGTTTTGAAATAATAATTAAATTTAAATTATTTGTATTTTCTTAAAGGTGTAAGTAATGTGGAGATGGAGTTGAAAATAGAAATTAATATATAGGGGTAGTAAGATAAACATACATTGGCTTTTAAGGTTTGAATGGTAGACAATTCTGGTTGGTAAAACCAGTTGTAATTATGCATAGATTTTAACTCATGAATACGATAATAAACATTTGTATTGCAAAATTGGTAGTAGCAAAATTAAGTTTGAATTAGTCATTAATGTGATTTAAACATTAATTTATCATAAAAAATGTTGGTGTTGAGTTTGTTATATAAAAATGTGTTAGATGCTGTGATTTCTCAATAATCCATTCGGTGTAATAATTTTTTACTCGTCGAAATGTCACACCAGGGTTGATGATTATGCTATAAAATACACCCAATGAGATTGTTATTGTTTAGGAAATTCACCAATGATAACCTCGTGAAATTATGCTAAATAGAGTAATTTTTCAATAAAAATCATATTACAGAAAACTTAATGATGTTTTTTGCTCAACAAAATTTCACTCGCCAAAATGCTTGACTTATTTTAATTATTTAAATCTCATGATTTTATATTTTTCTATAAAAGTTTTAATTTATTTTAAACCTGATTAATTCTATAAATATTATATTATAACATTTTGACTTTATTAACTAAGATTTAATAAAGCGGTGGTTATTAAATAATACTTACTATTTTTATAGAGTGAAAGATTCTTAAGAGTTAGAGTTATATCTATTCCAAACTATTGTGTTCTAAAAATAAGCAAACAAAATTATTGGACCATCAAATTAGTAAGAGTTTAAAAAATCTAAATGATATATAATAGAGAAAATTCAATATAATAATAAATATGAAATGTTTACATTTTCTTATATATGTCGAAACGGGCCACTCCGGACCGACCTACCAAGGGTTGGTTACTTAGTGAGTCAATCCAACCAGACTTATTTATTAATGAGTCAGAAAAATTTGAACTCAACCCGACTCAGCACGGGTTGGTGGGTAAACGGGCTGGCTTACTGACTTACTTAATTTTATAATTCAAATTTAAACAAATTTCACTCCCGGGTGTTTAATTAATTTTGAAAATAAGAAATTGAAATGATTTTTTCAAACAAAAACAAAATAATAAATATTTGTTTATAAAATTAAAATAAAATTAGGTAAGTGGGTTGGTGGGTCAACCCAGCCCACTACGGGTTCAATCCGCATAAGCCGGGTTTAAATGAGCTAGGTTTAAATCTGACCCGCATAAAAAAATATAATTTTTTCAAACCCAACCTAGCTCAAACCCGTGGTGGCCGGATTGACCCGCGGGTTGTGAGCTATACTTTTTCTATTAGAATTACAAAATTTATAAATTTCTTATCATTAACAAGACAAGAACTAAGGCTCTCAAATTGACACTTAAAGTCACATACTAATTTTACATACAAAAATAGTTGGATTAGTTATCTCTTTATATAAAAATTAATGTATTGTAAGCATTAAAAAATGAGCTGATTAGATATATATGCTGTATGATTGCGGGTCAGCTAGAATGGTCCACTGTAAAAGTATTTTAAAGTTTACATTAATTAACTGCTCAGACTCTAAAAATGATTAAACTGTTATAAATATTTAAACATTAAAAATTACTAATAATTAAGTTTATAGGTAAAACATGTTTATTATTTATTGGACTATAACTAAGGCTATACTAATTATAGTCCATGTCAAAATTTATAAATACAAATTTGAAATATGGAGATAAGTAATTATATTTATTTTGAATTTAAAATTTTACTATTACTAATAAATTATTATACTAGTGACTTAAACGTCCAAATAAATGATAATTTTTTAAATGGTCGATAACTTTTATGATGACAACATACTACTACACCCAACTAGTGTGCCACAATTCAATTTTCTTTATGATGTTTTATTATTCTAACATATCCAATTTTAACCTACACACATAGATTATTTCCATTTTCATGCCAATAAACTTTTACTTTAAAAGAATTCACACCTTAAAATATAAATATCATAAGTCATCTTTTATTCTAATAATATATATAGAGATGTATTAAATGTTCTCTTATACTCAACATTGCGGCTCACCATTTCAAATTCAATGAAAAGAAAAGTCACCAATTAAGGAGCGATAGCAAGCTTAGTAGAATTTTAAATTTTGCTTTGGTTGTAGAAAACATATACTTTTTGAAAAGTAACTCAACATATTTTGAATTCCCTCTTCTGTTTTATTTTTTTAAAAATAAAATACAATGTTGCATTAGCGAAAACATTTTATAAATTCATTTACTGATTTTTTTTTAATTCATGGAAATACGGAACCTAATTCAGTGCTATAAATGTATTCAACTTAAAATTATTGTTTAATTTCGACCATTTATATATAACGTATGAGATTTGCTGAAATATTATGATTGAAGTGAAATTCAGAATATGATGGAAGAACCATTTTTGTAAAAAGAGAAAAAAGAAATTGAGCAACCTTTTACAACAACCTAATAACTGAAAAGGCAACATATACGTAGACATTGAAAGCAAATAAAAGTGATTAAAAGCTATTAAATAGGAAAGGGGAATCGAAAAACAAAAAGGAGGAGTGAAAGGAGAAAAGAAGCGTTGAAATACGTGGTTGAATTGAATAAGGAATCAACTTAGGTGGCGTATTTGTGGACCCCACCATTACCCAGGTGCAGTGAAATGGTGCAGTGAAATGGTGCAGTGAAATGATGCAATGCAACGCAACGCAACGCGGGAACGGAAGGAATCGATCACTCCTTTGACTCAACCTAATCATTCATTTTCCTCACACCAATCACACGCCTTCTTATTCTCTCTTTCTCTTCACGCTTTCTCTTCTCCGATTTTCCATACTTTACTTTCCACCCAAATCAAACAAGTTCGTAATTTCAATCCTTTTTTTTTTCTCCTTTTTCTAGTTTTTGTTTTTACCGTCAGAGTATACTGCTTTTTCTAATATGTGTGTTTGCAACTTTCAGTGTATCCGAAGGTGAAGGTAAGACACGATGACGACGGTGAACTTGGTCTCAAAGCTTTCCTGTCTCTGTATTTGCAGCCATCTTCTCCAGGTATTTCTAATTTGTTTTCGTTTAAATACAATTTTAATCTTTTTTTTATTCAGTTTGCAAATTGCGTGCCCCTGTTTAAATTCTATTATTAGAAACTCTCAATTTTGATCCATTGTTAATTTTGTCTACATATTTTTTCAATATATTTTGATATTAATTTGAATGAATTTTTATTTTCAATTGAACTAAATAAAAGAAAAAGAGTATATATAAAATTAAAGATTAAAAGCGAAATAGACCAATTTCTAAAACGAGAGACCAAATATCTCTATTTTAAAAAGAGACACAATTTGATTAAAATTGTATTTGAACTCTATTATGTGTTTTATTTTGTTTTCTTTTGCTGGTTTTAATTTGCAGCTAAACTGTTACGAATAAAACGTTTATAAGACCCCGAATAGCTTGAGTTTTTTTGTTAGAGTTGGCCTTTATGTGATTGTATATGTTTTACGTTCCTTAATGCACGAATTATCCTGATCTTATCTACATTACTCTTGATGCTTAAATATTTTTGAAGCAATAGTTGGGGTAGTAATCACATGAATGAGTGAGTGATGGTGTTTTCCTTTCCTTTTCCATTTTGTTAGTTTTAATTTGTGATTGGTTTTTCAGTGTAGTTTTGGCCTAAATTTGGAGGTTGGGAGTGTGGTTTGTATTATATATGCAATATGCAATATGCAATATTCGCATTATTACGCTAAACATTTTCATTCGTCCAGTTAGTCAAAATTGTAGTTGGTCATTATTCTCTGTCATATTCATTTTACTAAATATAGAAAGGAATTGCTATTGTCTGATTTTACAGTGACAGACAAGAAAGTTGTCTCCATGCCCTCTGTTGTAAGAGTACCGGAGTGTTATGTTCCACATGTAGCTATTCCAAGAGTACCCCTAACTGAAGATTCTGGAGACTTCAGTGTTTCTTCAGTAACTACAGGATCTGAGAAGGATGGCAGTACTGATGAAAATAAAGTAAATATTAGAGTCAGTTCAATTCCTCCACCTCGTGCTGTCATTTCTAGTCCTGGTAAAATCATATACTTTTTATCGGATTTTGTTAGCTAAATTTGTTTGTGTACCAGATGTCTTTTGCAATTTGAATATCTGAGTTTTTTCTGAATCTTAGATTGACAATGAGATCATAAGAACTATCATGATTTATAATATGCATAGCAATATCTCGGGTTTCTTTTGATTGGCTACTAAAATTGAGTGAAGTACTTATTTGTAGATATCCTATTAGAAGATATGAGAGTAATTTTTCTTCTTAATTATCCGTAAAAAGTTCTTCCAAAAGGATGCAATACACATGTTGGCAAAATGGGATTTTCAGATAAAAGCCCAAACCTAGTTTTATGTACTTCAAAGGGAACTGAAACTCATAACTCAACCTTGCATGCAAAGAAACCTTGGATGAAATGAGTTTTTCAGGGAAACTGAATTTGTGAGTGTGATAGTGACATTTAGACCTTCAAGGAATACAGAGCAGTTTTATGTTAATAGGAAGTTGTTTTTGCAGTGTGACCTATGTAAAAGGTGTCGGGGTAATTTTGTAAGTTCTGTATTAATGGGTGCAACCGTCGACAACCATCCTGCGTAACTTAGTTTTCCTACTTTGTGTTCCCTTTTCACACTTTACTTCAATTTTCCCTATAATCAATAATTCTAAACAATTGTTATGATGCACCTTGTACAATCGCGATATAGTTAGGAGAAAGCTAATAGACGTATTTTAAAGTAAAAATATATGCAAATAAAACTCCCTTTTGAATCTCACTCGTAATGTCTTATTGGGGATTGCATGAAGATTTCTTCAGGTAAAAAATGAAATCTTCAGATAACAAGGGTTAAACATTTACTAGATTTTTCAATTTAGCATAACGTGATTTTAGTTTTACATTGTTACATAGTGCAATGGAGCCAGCGTTTTCTTGGAATTTCGTAGTCTCCATTTTCCTGTTCTGAACCTGAATAGTGCGAGTTTAGGTTGGTTTTCCACCCTTCTGTTTAAGTCAATACAAATTAATAAAGGGTTTATTTCCAAATTTATTGTGCACAAAAAGTGAGAGCTAAGTCTCTAAAAAGTCCATCACACACTTCTGAACTTTCATTGGAAACCTCAAATACTTCGAAGTAACTTTTACTCCCCTCCCTGGCTGTTCGAGAAGAAAAGAAAAACCAATTATTTGTCTCTTGATGCAACAGTACGATTTTTAGCAAAGAAAGTTGGGTAGTTATACTTGTAGAGAGCATCGTTCATTATGTATTTATGTTGATACTGATTCTAGTTTTTATATATGGAGATACGAGATATCTGGGTGCTGGCTAGTTCTTAGTTTCGTACTTGATTTCTTACAGAGCTAACCCTGCAATACTTTTTGTATTTAGATAATGACATAATGATTGGAAATCGAAACAAGACTAGAGATGGAAGACTTTTTACTTCAAAGAATGGTTCTGTGTTGCAAAATCGACATGCACACTGCAAAGTTAGATTGCATGATGCCACTGATATTCCTTCAGATACAAGAAAACACAGGGAGCCTGGGTCTAAAGAAGAAATTGATTCTGTAGGAAAGATAAAGACCCATAAAGGTAGCATAAAATTCGAAAAGGTACCTTGGAGATTTTAGTTCTGGTGAAATCTAGCATGACTAGATACAGTTTTTTGGAGATCAAAATGTAGTGTGATATTAATCTAGGATTAGGTTTCCTGCCATAGAAAAAGAGAGAATACAATGGTGCATGCTTTGGTGTTTCATGTAATATAGCCACTTCTGCATGCTATACTTCCCTCAAAGTTTTGATTGACCACTTGATGCGCCCGTGCAAGATTCTTTAAGGAAGAAGCCAATGCCTGCAGGGTCATCATATATATTGCGTTTTCCCCCATTTTTAATCTTTTTTTTTAGATTGTTTGAGGGAGCATATCAAATAGTAGCGTTTCATGGTATCTAATGTGTATAAGAAATTAATACCTTGGAGCAAACATGAATTTACGAATTTTGCTACGTATATTGTATGTAGATTATGTTACGCTTAAGTGAATATAAATAAATTTAATGCGAACTACTCATTTTAGCTTTGTTGTCAGTACTCATTTTACCTTCACTATGCACTCAAATAATTTGTATTGCATTTTACATTATGTTTCTTTCTAGTAGTTTTTATTTTTTAGGTACCTTTGCAACTGATGCTAATTTTACAAATTTACTATTTTTATGATCCAATCTTAATATTTTTTATAATGGTTATGGTTTCTATTTTAAGAATAGAAATATTTAACATGTATGTTTATTTTAAGAAATAGCACGAAATGAAAAAAAAAAAAATTACAGCTAATGTCGATTCATACAATTGAAACAATAGTTTCTTCAAAAACAAACCTTTTGATTATGTTATTCAAACAAAAACCCCACTCACTCTACCTTCAACTTCAAAATCACATTAACTAGATCTAAAATCATTTGTATAAAACCATAACGATCTAAAATGGAATAAAATGGCATCGTGCGGTCAAACGGTTCTTAAAAATAACAAATGAAAGGTAAATTTGGATGTTTCGATAGATATTTTAGAATAATGTAGTCATCAAAGTAAAATATGAGATAAATAGATAGTTTGGTCAATTACTTATCCTCTTCATTAATTTTTTCAAAACATTACTAAACTTAATCTTATTTTTTAATTTCTTGTCTACATATGTTAAAATGGATTTAAATTTGTGAATGAACTCAGTTCATTACCAAAAAAATTTAGTTAGAAAAAGTTAATTATTTTAATGTGAATCAAAATGAAATTCTTTTAACCCTAAATTAAATGAATTCGAGACAACGATGGAAGGAGAAGCACTGTGGTTAAACAAGTCGAGTGAGAGTTGCCACAACCAACAACAAGAACTCTCTTCCCTTGAATCTTTCTCCTCATTTATATTCACATGCATGAATAACGTCCCCTTTGAATTCCCTCAACCATTCTATCTCAGGTATCACGCACTCCGCATTCTCTCCGGTGGCCACCACCAGCCACCTACAAATGTACTCAAACTCATTCTTCACATAGCCGCTTGTTTCAACGTACCTAGCACACTGGACACACTGGTTGAATCGTGGGTTTATGTCGAAGTGTCGTGCGTAGGATTCGAGATAGCCTATGAACTGTTTCTTGGAGGGGTATTGGGGGAAGTGTGGTGGGAATGGAAGGTTGGGGAGCTGACAGAACTGTTTTGGAAGATGGAGTTTTAATCTGTCGTAGATTCGTTTTTGCCAAAGTGAGGCTATACATTCGGCTCGTTATTTCATAAACAGATTTGATTCCATCTGAAGGCAAAACGTAACAGGACGAAGGTGAAAGGATTGTGAAAGCAATTATCTTCCACCTTTGAATGAGGAGACACTGTGACGCTTCACCAACATGGACGTTCGGAGTATGGGCAATCGTTACTTGGCCCAACTCACCCACACCTCCCTCGCACGTGCCGTCCATGCTCACATCCTCACCTCAGGTTTCAATCCATTCCCTCTCATCATCAACCGTCTCATCGATCATTACTGCAAATCCTCCAACATCCCTTACGCTCGCCACCTGTTCGACAGAATTCCCAAACCAGATATCGTCGCAACTACCACCCTGCTTTCCGCCTACTCTGCTTCTGGCAACATCAAACTCGCCCATCAACTCTTCAACGCCACCCCCTTGACCATTCGTGATACAGTCAGTTACAACGCCATGATCACTGCCTTTTCTCACAGTCACGATGGTCACGCCGCTCTCCAACTCTTCATACAAATGAAAAGGCTCGGTTTTGTTCCCGACCCGTTTTCCTTCTCAAGCGTTCTTGGCGCCCTGTCTCTGATAGCTGATGAAGAGAGGCATTGTCAGCAGTTTCACTGTGAGGTTCTCAAGAGGGGTGTACTCTCTGGGCCTTCTGTTTTGAATGCTTTGATGAGTTGTTATGTTTGTTGCGCCTCTTCGCCTTTGGTGGACTCTTGTTTGTTGATGGCAGCTGCTAGGAAGCTCTTTGATGAGGCACCTCTTGGTCTGAGGGATGAACCTTCTTGGACTACCATCATTGCTGGCTATGTCAGAAATGGCGATCTTTTTGCCGCGCGTGAGCTTCTTGATGGAATGACTGATCACATTGCCGTTGCTTGGAATGCCATGATTTCTGGCTATGTGCACAGGGGTTTTTATGAGGCGGCGTTTGACTTGTTAAGGAAAATGCACTCCTTGGGAATTCAGCTGGATGAGTACACTTACACCAGTGTAATTAGTGCTGCTTCTAATGCTGGGTTGTTCAATATTGGAAGACAGGTGCATGCTTACGTTCTAAGAACAGTGTTGCAGCCATCACAACATTTTTCTTTATCTGTGAATAATGTTTTGATTACTTTCTACACTAGATTTGGTAAACTGGCTGAGGCGAAGCAAGTTTTTGACAGGATGCCTGTGAAAGATCTTGTTTCATGGAATGCAATTTTGTCTGGGTATGTCAATGCTCGGTGCATTGAGGAAGCTAATTCCATTTTCAGGGAAATGCCAGAGAGGAGCCTGTTGACGTGGACTGTGATGATATCAGGCTTGGCACAAAATGGGTTTGGAGAAGACGGTTTGAAGCTATTCAACCAGATGAAGTTAGGGGGATTGGAACCATGTGATTATGCATATGCTGGAGCAGTTGCCTCTTGTTCTGTTCTGGGATCATTAGACAATGGACAACAACTACACTCTCAGATAATACGATTAGGTCATGATTCAAGCCTCTCAGCTGGCAACGCACTGATTACGATGTATGCTAGGTGTGGTCTTGTTGAAGCCGCTGATACAGTGTTTGTTACCATGCCGTATGTGGATTCAGTATCCTGGAATGCCATGATTGCAGCTCTTGCACAACATGGGCACGGTGTCAAAGCCATTCAACTCTATGAACAGATGTTGAGGGAGGATATATTACCTGATCGGATAACTTTTCTCACAATTCTCTCTGCTTGTAGCCATGCAGGTTTGGTCAAAGAGGGACGCCATTATTTTGATACAATGCAGGCTCATTATGGTATAACCCCAGAAGAGGATCATTATTCTCGTTTGATTGATTTGTTATGTCGTGCTGGTATGTTCTCGGAAGCAAAGAATGTCACGGAATCAATGCCTTTTGAGCCCAGCGCACAAATTTGGGAGGCTCTTCTTTCTGGTTGTCGGATTCATGGGAACACGGAATTAGGTATTCAAGCTGCAGAAAAGCTCTTAAAGCTTATGCCACAGCAAGACGGAACCTACATTAGTCTTTCCAATATGTATGCCACTTTAGGTCAGTGGGATGAAGTTGCCAGGGTGAGGAAATTAATGAGGGAGCGAGGGGTTAAGAAGGAACCTGGGTGTAGTTGGATTGAGGTTGAAAACATGGTCCATGTCTTTTTGGTTGATGATGCTGTACACCCTGAGGTGCATGCTGTGTACAAATATCTGGAGCATCTGGTACATGAAATGAGGAAATTAGGTTATGTTCCTGATACGAAGTATGTATTACATGATATGGAATCTGAACAAAAGGAAAATGCTTTGTCTACTCATAGTGAAAAGCTTGCTGTTGTTTACGGAATTATGAAAATTCCTTTAGGAGCTACGATTCGGGTTTTCAAAAATTTGAGGATTTGCGGGGACTGCCATAGTGCATTCAAATTTATCTCCAAAGTGGTAGATCGAGAGATAATTGTCAGAGATAGGAAGAGATTTCACCATTTTAGAAATGGTGAATGTTCTTGTGGCAACTATTGGTAGCAAGAGGTTCTGTTATTTGATTATCATCAAGTGTTAATGTTAACAGCACTCCGATGAATTTTAGAATATATGAAATGCAACCTAAAGCCTTTGCAACGGGGAATTCAGAATGGAGACTGGTATCATATTAGAATGCCCCAAAATAAAAGGGTTGATCACTGGTAATATGATTTTCTTATTACACTTTTTCCCCTTTTATGCCATTTTAGTTTTGTTTTTGCTAAATTGATTCTTAATCTTTCTGTTACTATTTCAATGTTCACCATCCTTTTCATGCTCTTCAGTTTGTTTGTGCACTCTCCAGGATGAAAATTTGTCTTATGCTACTCTACTCCTCCACACTGATACTGAAACCAAATGTGAGAGCATAACAAAAACACGAGGTGACGTGCTGTTTAATCCTCTTGGAAGCAATTACCCTTTGTCTGTATCCTCTCCATAGCAGCAACTTCGATCTGAAAGATGATACATTAGATGGAATTTTGACCGTCCAACTGACCACTGCATTAAGATGCATGGAGAGATAATTGAACTGTTCATAATTTAGTTTTTGTAGAAAAAACTAACCTGTATCTTAGAAAACTAAACTAAATTAATTATGTATTAAACTGAGATGAAATAAATTTAGTTAATTATTTATACTAAACAACTAAATAGAACTATTATAGCTTCAACTACTAAACCAAATTGAAAAGCAATAGTTTAGTTTAATTAGAATAGTGCGCTGAGTTATTTTTAAAAGTTGTTCTGTTTTAAAAGGAACTAAAAATAGTTTATTTTAATAAGAGGTAATTTAATTTTTTATAGTTTAGTTTAATTAAGTTAGTTTTTCACAACACTCTTATTCAAAGAAAGACGTAATGAAAAAAGGTGTAAAGAGTTTGATTGAAGTGTTTATTAAAATGAAAATTAATGCTATTTATATTTCAACACAATTGTTTTTTTTATTCGAAATAATCAAAACTACAGATATATGAAGAAAATGTTTTTATTTGAATATTATGAATAGAAAGAAAGAAAGAAATGAGTGTTGATGTTCAGACATTCATAACGAACAAAGCTAAATAAAACTAAATAATCAGCACATTTTGTATTGAAAATTAACCCAAATTTTCCATTTAGAATAGACTCTAACACTAAGCTCCAAAAATAATTATACTGACTTTTAACTAAACACTCTTAAAATACATAAATAAACAAATATACTTCCCTATAAATTAAAATTAGTATATATATAATTTACAAAAACCATTTTACATAAGCTCTTTTAATTTAATTTATTTCTAAGCTAATTCTAAATTATGAAAACCAACTTATTTTATCTTTCTTAATTTTTCCTTATTCACAAACAAATTATAATGTTTAATAACTTATCATGTCTTACATCATGTCACCATATACAGATAGGTATTTTCAAATTTACATTAATGAAACCATTTCCCCTAAAAACTTAGGTTGATAATGTTTTCTTAAAAGTTTGGATGTTTTTCTAGGAAACTATCCTTATATTATTTTTAACTTCTAAAATTAAAAATTTCCTTTATTATCATGGACATCATTTGATTCTACCGTGGACTTAATAATCTAGTAAATAAATCCATCAAATATTTAAAATATACATTTTTTAGGTCATATTGCAAGTTTCTTTTAGATCAAAATAAAAATAAATGACTGCTCAAATTAACATGATTATCTAAGTATGGTATTACTATTAAGAAATGTTATAGTCTATGTGACTGTGAATATGTTTACAAATTATAAATAGCACATCTTTTGCTTAAACCCAAGAGTAAGTGAAAATTTATCTTCGTTTCGATGAATTAACTCTGCAAGAAGATTAGGATTGGTGATTTCATCAAAAGAAAAGGTTACAGTGCCATCAAACTTAAGATATAAGAGCTACACTCAACTTCACATCTTATCCATTTTTAATCATATTTATTTGTGAAAACTAAAACATACTAGTTATTAACCAAATTGCTATGAATATGAGAAAGAAAAATGAATTGAATTGGATGAGATACTTGACTTTAGAGAAGAACAAATTTTCCTCTAAATTTTCCTGTGCCAATGTAAATCTTTTTTGGGGGTGAATCATGTACCAGAGTAATCCTTAATATACTAAATGCTGAACTTATGAAGTGTACATGGCAAAACATTAATGTTCCACCAGACAATCTACAATGCTTACCAAAGCATAGAGAGTTTGAGCCATAGCTATGGTGATATTTGCTTTTTCTTCTCAAAGTTTTTGAGAAAAGAAATACTAGTAAGTAGACCACACATGATTATTTTCCCACAACACAACCATGAGGAAAGCAGAAGACACAAAGCACATGCCATGATTCCAAAGCTAAACTTCTTCCGGCCTTTGTTTATAACATAACACAGACTTTTCAGGTTAATGCCACACAGAAACTCCAAATACTGTGCCAACTTTTGCTTCTTCCCTCGGTAACTTAAATGTTTAGTTAATTAGAATTGACTTGAAGTAGTGTATCTGTCATTGTCTACCTAAACACACAAACCAAAACATGTGTTGGAGAGGGGAAGCTTGGAAAAAGGGAAGAGAGAGGATGATGCAACTTTTTTAAAAGTTAAAGTTATTGAGGCAAAATAGAGACTCAATACTGTGGAGAGAAGGGAATAAAGAATCATCTACATGATAAAGAAATAGACACAAAATTTTCACCCATTCAGGATGACAAACATTCATTACTCTAGGTATATTTGATCTTTACCTTGTAATGTAAAAAAATGTCACTTTCATGAGCTAATTACACCCTTCTTCACAACAAAATCATCTTACCTAACTACAAGAAATAGAGTCCCAGATTTAACCGTCCCGGACTATTTTCCTATCTGCTAAAGTCTAATTACCAGAAATTTTCAATCTTTTTCATCCAAAAGCTATATATAGAAACAATCCATTGCATGAAGAATTATCCCTCCTCAATCAATCATCTTCGACTGTCAATAATCTGTGCAGGAAAATGAAGTTGTAAGATGACAGAAGTTGTAAGATGACAGAAGCAGAATATAGAAATATAGAAATATAGAAATCTAATGACAAACTGAACCTAGTAATATTAAAATCCATCCATTCCATATAGTGATGTTTAACACATACCATCATGTTTCTTCTTCAAACTCCTAGCAAACAACAAGCATATAACCACAAAAGCCACTCCAGCTGCCCCTCCTAATATTATAGCCACTGTCTTCGCTGGATTTTGCCCTGCCATTACATCAATTAGCTACAAATAACTTCACAATCCAAATAAGATACACATTGAGGAAGGAAAGTTGAACATTCACCATTGCATTTGAACAATGGAACAAACAAAGAATACTGTCTCAAAATTGAGCTGTGTGTATGTGAAATTAAACAGGGACAAACAAACACGAATTCAATATGACAAGAGAAATTAACACAGTCTCTTCTGTCAATATTATCTCTTTTGGTGTTTAGGTATTAGTTATTACCAGAAGAAGACGAGGAGAAGGAATTAGAGGAAGATGAAGCTGCAGATGAAGAGTGTTTTCCTGGAACCCCATTAGGATAATAGCTATAACTGATGAAGCACTTGTACAAATAGACCTGGCCTGAAATGGAACTTCCACATTCTACCTCAGCCCTCTGTACAGCACTTTTGATACACTCCCCACAATCAGAATCCCCAACATCTCCTTCACACTGTCCCATCACATACAAAGACTGATAGCTTGTTGCATAGAAGCCATGAGCACTCACCACCCCATTTTCCATCACAGAAAAAGCAGTGTCCCTCCTCTCCTCAAACGCTCTTCCAGCCGCATTGGTCGCTCCACAAGTCTTGTACAGAATTTGCATCCCCGATATTTGAGAAAACCCGGTAACCTCGTACAGCATGTAGCAACCTAGGAGCTGGACTCTAGCAGCTGTGGTTTTGCCACACAATTTGTCAGACAAGACTGGGAGTCTGCTCACACAGTTATAGCAATCAGAGTTGGAGAGGTCCCCTCTGCATTGGAAGAGCCCAGTCATGGAGGTTTGGCCACTCCCGGTGGTGGCCTTAAAGAACTTGGTTTTAGTGGATTGTGAGACCAATGAGCCAAACAGGGCTGAAAGGGCTTGGGAGTATACCCCATTTGGATCTGTGAAAGGTTCCTTCGAGCAGCCCTTGTAGACCAAGGTGGTGTAATCAGAAGCAGATTCAGCAAGCTCTGAGGACAAAATCAGAAACAAAAAAAGAAATAGAGACTTTAAAGGAAGACCCATTTGAGTGTGTGGTGTTGAGAGATGGGAGGATCAAATCATGACAGTTTTGGAGGGGAAAGAAAAGAAAAAGGAGAAAACTTCAAGGGTATGAATGTGTGTGTGGTATGGTACGATGTGGTGTGGTGCTATCAGATTCAGAGAGAGTCTGATTAAGGAAATGAGGAATCAAGGGTTGTGATTGAAGGTTGGGTTTTTGTCTGGCCTTTTAGCTGAATCAGTAGGGAAAGAGATTCTGGGTGGTGTGGTGGAGTGACTCTACATTCTGAATTTTGTGTCCTTGGGATTCACTTTCCTTTGGATGGATGGATGGATGGATGGATATTTGATATCATAACATAATGTAGTGCAATGCCTCTGTAGATGTGCATAAGAGCACCAGGTGTATCATATCATATACACTCTCTTTCTCTCTCTATTTCTGGTTTTTTTAAAAGGTGTTTTAATACCACAGAAAATAGGTTTTGAAAAGAGAGTTTAAGTTTTTTGAGAATGGTGAACAGTTTTTTATTATTTGAAGAGAATGAGAACAAAAGTGGTTGAATTAATTAGGCGTTAAAAGTAGTGGGAGAAACATTCACAGTTCTTGGTTTTGGAGTGCATGAAGAGAAAGGAATCTGGTTTTGGTAAGAGAGAACACCATCACACTTTGACCATAACACGTTCTGCTTTATCTAAGATTTCATTTGAATTCAACAATTATTTTTTTAATTCTGCACAAGTGATAAACAATAGAAAAATGAGTATTAACTAAGATATGTATTCCTATTCTAATCATTTCAAAAAGCCAACCCGTCTCACATTTGCAACTCTTAACATCTCTGCAATCTGATAAGATTATTGCAAAACAACAAAGAAGATGAAAATTGTTAAAATGTTTGAAATTTTAGAATCTTTTGAAGAAACGAATATGAAATATAATTTTTGTTTCTTCTTTTGTAAGTCACTGCAGATTCAGTGATTTATTTGTAATAGAGACTGCACACATCACGAATATATGGCTGGCTGAGATGATAATCTGAGAACAACACGACAAATTAGAAAGAAGAGAATAGCTGGCACGTTTCTGTTTTTAATTGAAGCAGATTGAATTCAGACAACAGTGTGTGCTATTGTTCGAAAGGTGCGGTGAGTTGCAGAAGTTCTGTCATCCTGCACCAGAAAACCTTATATTTCTTTTCTTGATTTTAAACAATTAGATGAAATTCTCAATTTCTATATTTATATCAGACTTAAATAACAAATAATTTGCAACAATTTTTAATTTAATAAATTGCATTTTTGTAATTTGAAGTAAATTAATATTGGCTACCCATGTAACTGAAAAATGATATAAAGTTTATAATGATTACTTTTACTAACTATGGATA